AAAAAAAAAAACACGAAAAGGTCGTGAAGAGCACGCTAGAGACTGAGTGCCTAGTTTGGGCACTGACTGGTATGTATGGCTGCATGTCCCTGGGTAAATCACAGCATCTCCAACGCTCAGTTTCACCCATCTGAACCCTAACGATGGTAAAGTCCCATTCTCTCTTAAAATCACAGACTTCAGATGTGTCCCCAGGGTTAAAACAACGTGGAGGAGTCCAGAGGCAGCCCCTAGGCCAAGGAACGGCTTTCACAGGACCCAGATGGGTTTCTAAGAAGAGCAAGTTGCTCACCCACCGCCCCCCCACCCACCCACCCACCCACTGCCTGCACCTGTAATCCTGACTGCTCCGGGCTGGAGGTGGACCTTCCCTGGAGAAGGAACGGAGTGTAGGTGCTGCCCTGGAGGAGGACTGGGGGATGTGGGGGTGCCTCCAGGGTGCCAGCGGCAGGCCAGGCCCAGGTCAGGAGAGCTGGGTCGGAGCAGCTGCACGGCAGGTGCAAGAGAAACAGGTGCAAGAGCAGGTACCTGCTCCTGTCTCCAGGAGTCAAGGTGAACCTGAAACCCAGCCCCTCCCAGCTAAGTAAACAGAAGCAGAGGCCGGCTTGAGCTGATGAATATTCATCACCTCCAGAAATCCAATCCCAGAGCCCCTGCACCCACCCAGAAGCCAGGGTCCTCCCAGGACCGTCTAGCCAGGAGGAGGAAATGCCAGGGGAAGCCTGGGGTGGGGGACTGGAGCCTGTCTTCGCAATGTCCCCACGCACCGGTGCCCGTCGCACCTCCCACAGTAGCCAAGGTCAGCCCCACCACAGGTTTCATCCCCAGGAAGGCTCAGCCCCCTGCCCAGCACCGACTGCCACCTGGACGCTGCCCCGGGCAGACCGTGCACGACTGGGAAAGGGTTAAGGACTGCTGCTCCCTTCTGCCGGGCAGGACAAGGTGCAGCCCAGCTCCTTTGAACTCCAAAGTCGAAACCAGTCCCTGGTTAAACTGGTTGGCAGACCGGTTCCCAGGCTGCCTGCTCCGCCCTGAAGCCTCCCTGTTCCTGGCGGCTGGCATGGGCTGGGGGTCCGTGTTTCCCTCCTACTTGCTGACCCACCTTCCTCCCCCGGGCCGTGAGTCGGCCCATCCCCTGTTACCTACCTTCCTGTGTGGATTGAGTGTGTGCAGGTGAGGCTCAGCGCAGGGCGCTGGGTAGAGCAAAGGCGTGAGAGCCCCCTTCCCCTCCAAGCCACATTGTCACAATCCAGCTCTCAAACCTTCCCCCAGGCTCCAGCCCTGCTTCTACTTGGTTCAGCTTCTCATGGCCTCTTGCACTTTCCCTCAATCCTAAATAGCCCCTGCCTCTCGGGTGGACCCTCATGGCCTACTATAGCACCCCTTTAACCTGACCCTCAAGGGCCCGGCCTCTGCAGCCTCCTTTCTCCCAGCCCTCCCCACCTTCCTGCCCACAGAGCCCTCCTAGGAGGGCAGCCTATGTCCTTGACCAGGAAAGGACTCCCCGCCCCAAGTGCAACTCAAAACAAACTCCTACTCACCCCTCGAGCTCTGAATTATTATGCCTCCTATCCCTTCAGGAATGTTCTTCTTCCTGCAGCTCGTGCACACGTGCTTCTACTTAGCGTGATGTATTCCACGCATGGTAGCATGTGTACGTACATCTAGTTGTCTATGTACATGTGCAATAGTGTACTGATCTACTCGCAGGTAGATCAAAGAATTTTAGTTCCCTGAGTCTAGAATTATCTAATGCAAACCTGATATGTTGGTGCTAAATGCAAACTTTATTTTATTTTTTTGGAAAATACTTATGTATGCATACAGAACTGGGATACAAGCCAGAGGTGCAGGGGCTGAGAGGATTCTCCAGGGACAGAGAGGGGAGCAGAACAGGCAGATTGACTGAAATACACTGCTGAGGGGAGCAATGGGTGAGGCAGGAGAGGTCTGCTGTGCTTGTGGGTCACCTCCCTGGCTGGGGATCGAACTGGTGCTGCAGTAGCTGCCAACAGCTTCATAGTAATTCCTTGTACCACCAGGGAGGGCCCTTAACGCAAACTCTAAAGCACAAACAAGAAACATATTTTCTTTACCCCAAGGAATTTTTACTGTGCCAGTTGCCTTTGTCCCACTCTCCCTGGGACAGGTAAACACGAGCCAAATACCCACTTATTTCATGTCCTGTGATTCAGCTGCAGCAGGCTGGCTGTGATAGTGTCTTGTGACTTGGAGGATGTCATTTTGCAAGGCCCCCTGCCTCTAGTGAGAAGCATACATTTGTTCAAGGAAGAGCCCACAGCTTTCTGATCGGTCCCTTTCTCTGCAAGCCCTGTCTTTGCTGTCCAGCCCAGAAAGTACCAGAAAAGGCTAAAAGTTCATAACAGCCCAGGTGTTGGGAGACCAGAAGGATGGTGGGATGGAGGGAGCAGAGGACAGTATCCAAGGGCCTGGGTATGGACTTCCTCTAAAGGGCAGTTGTGTACCAGAGGCACTCACTCCCTGGACCCTGAGAGCCAGCTCCCCTGGTGTCCCAGACCTCGGGGCAGTGCTCCCTCCCTCCCCAGTGACTTTGGGTACCCAGCTCTGTCAGGATGACAAGTGGAACAAGGACAAAGATGGGTCTCTGAGGCCACATCAGGTACAACTAGGAGGGGCAGAGGCAGAAGCTGCATTCTGAACTGAGGGGGGTGGTAGGTTGTGATTGGAGGGGACTTTCCCTCTGCTTTGGGGAAGAGACGGTTTCAACATGGGGACTGTGTTCCAGACACTGCTCCGATGCTCTGCACGTGTGAGCCCCTAATCCTCACTTCCCAGGTAGAGCTTTCAGGTGCCTGCACCAGCTGGCACTACTAGTAGCCAGTCTCATTATTCTGTGTTAGTTTCCTCTGGCTGCTGTAACAAGTTGCCACAAATTTGATGACTTTAAACAACAGAAAATTTAGCTCACAATTTGGAAGTCAAAAGAAAAATATCAGTCTCATGATCCCTCTGGAGGTTTCTGGGACAGTCCATTCCTTGGCTCCTCCAGCTTCCAGCAGCTGCGGACATTCCTTGGCTTGTGGCTGCACCCCACCCTGATTCCTTCCTCTTCCATCCTCCCATCACCTTCTCTTCCAGGTGTTTAACTTCCCTCTGCCTCTCTCCATAAGAACATCTTGCGAGAGTTATTAAGGGTCAGATATTTAAGGTAACTTAGATTATCCTTATGATGCTTAACGGAATCACACCTGCAAAGAAACTGCAAACTTTCCCCAAAGAAAGTTATAGGGATTTGACATTGGCATCTTGAAGTGGGGAGGGCTGGGGGTCAGCCTGCCACACTCTTCGTTTTCACCATCTCCATGTTACAGACCCTGCTGGACAATGTCTGTGCTGGCCAGGTCCTCCTTAGAGGAAGGATGAGCTGCCTCTGGCAGTTACCTCTCAGGATGTGCCTCAGCTGCAGAGAGTCGTCCTAGCTGAGGACGTTTCCTTCTGGGGCAGCCTGCATCTGGGATCTAAAATCCACTCCAGCCCCAACAAGGGACTGAGACAGGCTTCACTCCACAGTCCCCCACCATATTGGCTTTGCCAGGCCTGCATTAGAGCTGGATTTCTCCCTCAACCTGATCCTACTTCTGTCTGGCTCCTCTCACTGGCAATGGTCCCTAATAAACATCTTGTTCCCCAAACTTCACTGACTTTTCAAGAGCACCAACCAATTTATGACACTGACATTTGTGTGTGTGTGTGTGTGTGTGTGTGCCAGAATGGTGGCAGTGAAGGGGTTAACTTGAGCCTTGGATTTCCCTGGTGTACTGGATTGAATAGTGCCCCCCCATTCATGTTCACCTAGAACCCCAGAACGTGACTTTATTCGGAAGCAGGTTTCTGCAGTAGTAGTTAGTTAGGCAGAGTTGACACTTAGGTGCGGGTGTGCCCTACAATCCAAGGGTTAGTGGCCTTGTGAGAGAGACACAGATATGCAAGAGCAGCACCAGCGGCCACCAAGCAGAGATGGGAGTGATTTGCTGCAGGCCCAGGGAGGCCCAGCAGGCCCGGGATGGCCTGCCCAGAGCCAGGGAGAGGCTTAGGGCGGACTTGGCAGCAATCAGCCTCGCTGGAGGTGGGATTTCAGACGTCTGGCCACCAGAACTGCAAGCGGATACCTATCTGCTGTTTTAAACCACCCAGTTTGTCATGATTTGTCACTGCATTTCCCGCTACTGCTGCTGCATAAGGGTGAGCGTCCTTTCATGTGCATTTGGCCATGTGGGCTTCCTGGTATCCAAAAGGAACCTTTTTCAGTGCAGAAAACCCTTGTCTCTTCCAGAGGCTAGCGTCATTCTTAATGCACTGACTGAAGTAGTACAAGTGCATCAGTGGGCTCCTGGTCCCTTTCCTGTGCGCAGCCTTGCGAGCACCTGCTGCCCGCTGCTTGGGAACCCTGGTCTACAGGATGAAACTCATGGCCTTGCATTCTCCAAGCTCTCCCTGGCCAGTCCCTTCCATCTAACTTCACACTGCTCTCCCTGTAAAGGGTGCTAGCTCACATGATAGACTTCTTCTGGAACAGCATGTTCTCTTACCCAGATGTTCTGTCCACCTACCCCCTCTTCCTAGAATGACCCCCATTGCTTCCCATCCCTTCTTGCCTTTCTCTTCTCCCTTCCACCTCTGCTTGTCCTGCAAGACTCATACAATGCTGACTGCTCCCAGGCGTCTACTCAGAGGGTGATCTGTCTCCACCCACCCCTTTACTCCAAGTTGAGTAGTTTCCTCCTCCTCCCTGTTCCCATAGCCCTCAGAGCACAGGTGTTGAAGATGTTTGGGAAGGAAATGGACAGGACTTGGCTATCAGTGGACTGTGGACGTGGGGAGAGAGACAGCAAGGATGGCAACGAGGTGGTTGGGTGGGAGACCCACTGCCTGAGATAGGGAGGCAGGGGGCTGAGCAGGTGTTGGGGAAGGAGGGACCTCAGCTTTGAACTTGTAGAGTTGCCAGTGCTGGGAGACCCTAACATGGGAGGTTTCAAAAGACCCTTGAGCCTATAGTTTTGAAGTTCCAGGGAACCACAGGGCTGAGTATACAGCTTTGGCTGAACCCTATTCTACAGGATTCAGCCAACCATGCACCTGCCATACACGCGCCTGGCGCTAGACTCTGGGCGTGCATCTGGGATCTACAGCAGACTGTCACTTTCTTGGAGAGCTGGATGCCTTCGTGCTAGGGTCCCCAGCACCTGGCAAACACCGCACTGCGTGGGGAAGCGGCTGGCAGCTGAGGGGCTGGCAGTGGATGTGGTTTTCCTCTCCTCGGAAGAGCAGACTCCTCCAGCTTGCCGTGGTGGGAATGATGGACTAATAGGTCTGCAATAGTACACTTAGGAGGTGATACCCTGAACCCAGTTCTCGAGGCCATTCCGTGACTTATATCCCCCCAGAAGACTAATGATGGGCTGAGGAAGATATGGCTGTCTTGGGGTGCGATTGGTGGCCCCAATCTGTCCTCAGAGACACGTTCTTAACTCGTGAAAACCAACCGTGTCTGATGTCTCCTTCTGGATTCCTCTGTCCATTCGCAAGGGCTCAGGGGGCTTCACTCCAAGTTTGCAGGGGAGGGGTGAGGAAAGGAGTGGGGGAGGGACGACATGCTTCCCTCCCCCCAGATCAAGAGATCAAGTTCCCCACTGGATCCTGCATGCACTACACCTTCTCTTATCCCTTCCTTCACAAGCAAACAATAAGCCTCTGATAATCAAAGACAGGAATCATTCCAGGCACTGGGCCACACACATGAAGGGGTCTGTAGTCCCTGCCCACAAGGACTAGCTGGAAAGACAGGCCAAGAGAACAATAGAGAGCTTACAACACAAAAGCAGGAGACCCCGATGAGGCGATGAGGCGTTTCCCTCTCTCTCTCTTCATTGTGGCTGTGAGCAAATGCACACAGAAGAAACCTACCACAAAGTAGTAAACATACAGCAGATAAAATAAATGGACTGGCTGAGTGTCAAAGGTAAGCCTACCTTTTATGGCCTTTGCAGGGAGATAAGTAATAGGTGTTCTAGCCCAGAGTAGGGTGCGGTAAGAAGGAGCTTTAGAAAGGGGTGGGGACTGCAGGGGTGGGGCCCTTCAGCGTCTGGCACCACCAAGGACCACCAGAAAGAAAGCAGGAATCAAGAGAAGACAGGAAGGAAGAGCTGAGACTGATGGTTGAGCAAGAGAAGAGGGGGTGGGAAGGTGGGAGATAGGAAGTTACATCCTGCAGAGAGCAGAGAAGCAGGCAAACAAGCCTGGTTTGAATCCCAGCCCCCTCCACTACCAGCTGTATGAGCTTGGCCAAGTTACTAAGCTGCCAGCTGTGGCTCCCTGGCTTGAACACCTAAGTAATCAAAAAGATGCCCACAATATGAGGCTGTTGGAAGGATCAATTAGGCGAGGCTTGTAAAACATTTAGGTCTATGCTGGCACGTGACACATGGTTATCACTTAATAAGCAAGCCGAACACACCCAGGATGGCACGGCAGCTGCTTACACAGCACCCTGGGGCTCCGCGCGCCCCACAGCCCTGCTGTGCCTTTTACCTCCCCCCTGTGCTGTCTCTCAGGCAGCAGCCCACCCCTAAGCCAGCAGAGAACCCAGATGTCCACTGGAGAATCCTTCGTCCTCTCCCTACCGCTTTCCAGATGCTGGGAGCCCTGAGGCCGGGAGCCCCTTCCCCGGCCCAGATGCCAGACCGCGTATGTGTTCACCTGCCTTAGGCCTGGTGAAGGTCAGCCGGGGCAGAATGGGCTCAGAGCCCACACTGCTGGCAGCCACCCTGGGGCCAGCAATGAGGTGGGCCTGGTGTCAAACATCCTTCCTTTCCACACGAGTCACCCAAGGGCCAGGGGTCTCTGCCTCCACCAACTAGCCCGGGCTGGGCCTTCTAGACTCACCCTGCCCTGCTATGCCCCACCTGTTGGTTCAAGGAGGGGACATGCAGGGTGGGGCAGGACCATGCTTCCTGGATGTCCCAGGGAGCCAGGAACACAGAGTTAAAGCTCAGTGTTGAATCACGGGGGAGCCCCAGCGAGTCCTATAGTCTGAACTTCACTCTAGAGATAACTGCCAGGTTCCCAAGAGAGAGCCCTGAAGAGGCCCTTTAGTTCCACCCCGTGAGCTGTCCTCAGGGGACTCTTTTAACCCATTTACAATAACAATGATTAATGTCGCATACACATATATGCATAAGTAGTTTACAAAGCAATGGAAGATGTATTAAGGTATGTCATAAACGGCAGTTATATATGGCTAGTGTGTTTATTTATTTAAGCCTATAAACAGAAACACCCAGAGAGAGTGGGAAGAGGCTGTCTCCATGCTGAGGAAGCTGTGGCTGGCACAGCACTCGTGGAAATGGCTGCAGAGCTCACTGGGCAGGAGTCTAGGTCTTCTCACTATGGTATCCGCAACAGTTCAGTGCTGTGTTGGGCCAGAGGTAGGGGTGTCCTTTAAAAATAACCAGAGTTGGGCCCTCCCTGGTGGTGCAGCGGGTTAAAGCACAGCACTGAGAATCCAAGGCCGCCTCCGCATGAGTTCGATTCCCGCCTGCCCCGGAGGTGACCACATGGCG